TATAACTAGGTTACCCACAGGGCAGTAATGCTGCCTTTGACAGCAAAAGACAAACTACAGGGTGTTGAACGAGTCCTTCAGAAACATCCTATTATTGTTATCCTTGTTAACCCATTTATTGACAGTACCCTACCACTGACTGAGTATTAAAAATCGTCTGGCGTTGGACAGGATAAATACTAAAGTAGGGGCCATTACTGTGTTGATGAATTAACAAGAGCCATTGGCAGATAGGTTTGTTAACCCATTTACTGGCAGTACCCTATACCACTGACGAGTAAAATCTTCTGGCGTTGGACAAGGGAAGGGCGCATTGCCAGCTAATGGGTTAAACCACCGTGGTTAAACATAAGATTTCATGATGCTCCAGGAAATGTAAACAAGCTATCAGTGTGACATCCCAGTTTATATATTTATATACTCGGAATATTGATTTATCGGTATAAAATTATATATATATATATATATATATATATATATATATATATATATATATATATATATATATATATATATATATATATATATATATATATATACAATAAGTTCAACTCGTCCATCTTTGTCTCAGTGAGTACTTTCGCGCGTACTTGTTATTCGTGAAAAGTTGGATCGACAAAATTTCCTCGTGTGCGGCAACATTTACGGCATTTTCGTCATTCGTGACATGTAAACCAATATCAAACATGTTTGATATTTTTCGTCATTTGTGACAAAAAACTTCTCGTGTGCGGCGAGCAATCGACAAGTGCGCCTGAATAGGAAAATTTGCGCATGCGTGCAACTTGCAGAATTAAAAACAACATGGCGGTTCAAAATCACGAGCTCGTGTCTTATTTTTAATTTTGCAAGTTGCACGCATGCGTAAATTCTCCTATTCAGGCGCACTTGTCGTTTGCTCGCCGCACACGAGAAGATTTTTGTCACGAATGACGAAAAATATCAAACATGTTTGATATTTGGTTTACATGCCACGAATGACGAAAATGCCGTAAATGTTGCCCGCACACGAGGAAATTTTGTCGATCCAACATCTCACGAATAACAAGTACGCGCGACAAGTGCGCTCGTGTGCAGCGGGCTTAAGATTATTATTATTATTGTTTAATCTTCTTTAAAAAACAACGGTAGCCCTTCAGCATAGATAAGAGCTGTTTTCCAAGGGGCCGTTGCACAATACATATTTACAAAAAAAGTTTGGGTTAACAATTACAATTAGTATATAGTTACAAATTACACATTACACATTACACATTACACATTACAAATTACATATTACACAGTACACCACATAAGACTTAAGTATTATGCTGCGGTCTGTCCCGAAGCAAGGTTTTAAATGCGTTTAATGACAAGCAATCTCTTTTCAGTTCTACTGGTAATTCATTCCAAATTTTTACACCTGAATAGCTGATGCTTTTTTTTAAAAAGTTTATTTTGGGCTTTTCTAATTTATAATGGATATTATTATTTCGTAAATTATAATTGTCATTATTTTTAACGACAAACAAGCTAGATATATTTTCTAAGTATTCACCATTCGTAACTTTATGCATAAATATGCCTTATTATTACCCCATCTTTCCATCAATGGCTGCCAGCTTAATTCTTCTAATATATCCTTAGATCTGACATCATATGATTTACCAGTTATGACTCTTGCAGCCCTGTTTTGCAGTTTTTGGAGTTTTTCGAGCGAATATGCATTTC